CTGTGATAAGCAAATACATCTTTGTTATAAAATCAAGAGTAGACACCATTGCAAATCATTTCAGGAAAAGATAAAATCATGAACCCACAACACACAAATAGTTACCTCGTAACAGTTTTAGATAGCCCACAATTTTTTTTAAAGTCTCTGCCAGTATGCCAAGTAACTTTGAATACGCAAACAATCCCATCAGGTTTAGTGAAACAATGCATGCTAGTAAAATCATGTATGTAGACACAATTGCAGCCTTAAGCTAAAAATGGAGGCTCTAAGGACTAAACAACATACAAATTGCTCTGCAGGGTGGAGGAGGTAGAGGCCACCATTTAACAAGAAAATAAAAACAAACAAACCAAAGCCTATATTTCTTCCAGTTTTCCCTTTCTTTGAGCCACTTCCCTCTTGACAGCCTTGGGAAAGCAGATATCTCAGCTCTGAGAAACTGCGACTAGAAGAAAGTTCCTCATTCAAGTGTGCCCTGCAGAGGAGCAGCTACATGATGCTCTCTTTCATGCAATTAAGAAACTGCAACAAACCAATGTTCAAAATTTTTATGTCAGTACTCACTCAAGTAAGTTTGACTGTTGAGCACAGGCCAGCACGTTTAGTTTTCTCTACACAATGGTACATTGTTAGGAAATGAGGTTTAAAATCAAGCTTACAGTAAGCCCATTAATTAATAAACTACTCAAAAACAATAAATAGAAGCAATAAATACAATAATCTTAGCTTTTCCATTATTGCTAGCACAATAACTTCTGAATGGCGAAACATGAAAAGTATTTAAGATGTTTCAGACACATATGTGACCAAGTGACAAGTGTTGGCCTAGCTTTAAAAAAAAATATTGTAACATGAAGGGATACACTTTTGTCCAAAATTTAATTTAAAAAAAGCAGGTAGCCATTTCTTAAACTATGAAGAATGCAAAACTTAGAAATAAGGATGCATGTTTTATACTTTTCTGAAAACACTTCATTAGTTGCTCTTCAACAAAAAAGAAGTTCCACTGTTCAGTGAAGTTCAGGCTGATGATCTATGAAGAGATGTAAGGCAAAGCTATTTTTTTTTTTTAATAAATAAATAATCCCTGCCTGAAATTACTTTACCTCAGTAAAAACAAGGGGGAAGAGGAAGACAATTATTTTCCATTATAGTCATCCCGAATATTTAGGCTTGCTTTTTTAGTCCTTTGCAATCACTATGATACTTTTACCTGGGCCTTTCACACAACAAACAACAAATAAAGTAAAACTTTATTCTACAACACGATTGTTAAAACAGAGAAATCAGACAAGACAAAGGCAGCGGTGGCTCAGGCAGAAGCCCGGTGGATTTCATCGCATAGCGCGAATTTTAGGGCAGCGCAGGTGAGCTGCGCCTGGCGATGGTGCCGCTCCGGAGGGCTTGCGGTGCGTGCCAGCCCCGCGGGCAGCGCGGCTCCGTGCCCGCCGGCCACCGCCGCCCGCCGGCAGGGCTGGCTCAGTCCCCTCCGTG